AAGAAATAATAAAAATAAGTATCTATTTTAATACTGGTCTTTTGGATTTTCAAAAGAGTCAAAAAATCACATATACATACATACAAGTACACTATGTATGTGTCACATAGTGGCCTTGACAAGACTCACAGCCAAATAAATATACAATTATTAAATTATTGTCAAAAATTTACTTAGAATTTTGTCAAGACCCAAACTCAATACTCAACTGTGTGCAATGTGTGAAAATGCATTTAGAATGGAAAATATGAAAAATTAATAAACTAATATTAAAACAAAACGAAACAAAACACCAAGCCATATGGTGAGATATTTAGTATTTTTAAATTATTTGTACGTGAAAAATATACTGCAAATGAAACCATACATTAGAATCACAAAGAAAATAAAAATTATGATTGTGAGCCATAACCAAAACAAAAAAAAAAAACAAAAAAAAGACGAGATAAGTTAACAGCGGTAATATGTAAAAATAATAAAAAATTTTATTCCCATTAACAAAAAGTTACTGCGCTGCTAATTAGTTCAATTGAGACGCGGACAACTTTGTGATGTGTGTTGTCTATGTGTGGCAAAAATAACGTATAACGGATTATGTGGGCGTTTACAACTTACCGCTAGCTTTGCGACTAAACATATTCGTTATGGACTTGCTGATGCTTTTACGCTTATTATCGTTACGACGAAAGGGATCATACGACGAGGAGGGCGTCACTTGTACTGGCGACGCTGACGATATGTTTGCGAATGTCGTTTGTTGACCGAGTCGTTGCTGCTGATGCTGCGGTGGCAGCGTATTTTTAGCAATATGCACTGGTGAATTGTCACTCGCTTTGCGAGCGTTTATCAAACGGAATTCGCGATCAATGAGATAAGAGCGCGCCACGTCGACAATTTCCAATGAATCCTCACACATGGGCAGTTCGGCATCGATTTGTTGTTTAAGTATGCGTAACATTTGATGAAACGATGGTGTATCCGAAGTAATCACTATATCTGGCCGCAATAATATGGAGTGCACCAGGGGTAGCGGATAGCAGGAGAGGCGCGTAATCAAGCCAGTAAGATGTAAATTTACGTATAAGGTATTGCTGGTGAAAGTTTGCAGTTTACCCCATATCGCATTCAAGAAGGGACCTGGATCAGAAATATTTTAGTTTTATTATAATATACATTTTGTACTTCAATTTATGAGTTTGAATGCAAATACCTAAGCTTACTGTCCCTTGCGCAAAAAGATCCTCCGAAAAGTCCAAGTCAGTGAGCACTAGTTCGTTATGATTACTTGAGACGCGCCAAATTTCCTTTCTATATTGCTTTTGTAGCGTACCCAAACTATTGCCATTGCCGTTACTACTGCCACTATGATCCAACTCAACTTCGCCTGTGCTCGTGCTTACCATTTGCATGGTAGAATTGGCAGCAGAGTCATTACATTCGCCTCCATCATCTTCCACAGGACGCCACCTGAACGATTCATAGCCACTGGACTCACCAATGGACTGCAGGCTGTCCGGCTGTGCTGTTTTTTCCACAGCACCTCTTACATGCGACGCGTCCGACAAGGCGCTCATACTAAATTCATTGAAGAACTGTTTGACCAGCTCCAGTGTTTGTGCTTGTTGAGCGCGTATATTCTTTGGCGGCCATTTTTGATATTTGTAGGCATTAGCCCATTTGGCGCAGGCGTTTTTGCATTGCGTGATGCGACAGTGCGCCTCGAACAGATACGCATGGAAGTTGGCATAGAGACTGGTGCCCGTATGTACGCCATAGTAATTCCAATTCGCACCGATCGTTTTACTCATTGTCGACGTTGGCGATGGCAGGGCGGCGTGTGATGTTTGTGTGGTCACTGTATCGCCAAGTGATTTGTGCTTGGTCAATTCGCGGGCGCGTTTCATTACGTCCGGCGTAAGGTCTAGAAAGAATTCGACAGTATTTATGTAAGGATCGATTTTATTTATTTTGTGTCGATGTGAAATTGGTACATGCTTGCCGGGCAGTATGTACTTCAATAGCAGTTCCAGCATTAGATCCTCACAATGCAGACTAATCAATGTGTCAAATAACGCCATTGTTACCATACACAAATTCGCGTCCGTGGCGCCCAAACGGTCGATTAATGTGTCTAATATGCGTTCGCCATCGAATTTTTCAGTGTCCAGAAGGAATTTAACAAAAGCGCGCAGTAAACCGGGCTCGGTTACTGATCTGAGTATAAGGTCCAAATAGGACATAGCCGATATTTGTGATTCTATGTTTGTCTGGAAATGTTTGCCTTTCAATGTCTGTAAAAATTATTTATGAATTGTTTCGATTTTTCGCTTGGTGTTGATTAAACTTATATGGGTGAATAACATACATACATAAAATCACATAGTAGTTAGCAAATATAAAAAAATTAATACAAAAATAAAATATAAGCAATGAAATAGATATGTTTAAAAACATTTTACATTCAAATAAATATAGGCAATAAAAATATTTTGTTACTTTTTTCTTAGTAACAAAGTCATAAACGACATTATAAATCATTGGTATTAAAATTTATTGCTTAAAAATTTTTTCAAATCGGTGATTCACTCGGCAAATAGTGTGTTACAAATGTGTACAACAAATGTTTACATATATTTATGTTTGTATGTATATATGTACAGCCATAGGTGATTCGAGTTCTTAAATATTTATTTGGACCCAATAAAATAATACAAGTATATTATAAGACAAAGGCTAACCTATCATAAATTAAAAGTAATAAAATTGTTCATGAACCAACACCACAGACAAATCGAAGACAATTCGACAAATGTGAAGAAAGAATGGATATGCTTACCTGTAATATTGCCGGCCCCAGTACTGGGACGATAAAGCCCTGATATAGAAAATCTAACAACTGATTCTTTATCATTTCATGTGCCACTTGCACCACAGCGTTGCAAAACTCCAAAGCATTCATAAACAATGTCAGTTCGGGTATTTCCGTCACATCGTCGGGTGTTATGCGATGCCAATCTATCGATGTTATTTCTATAGAGTTTGGTAGGCGTGAATACAAGCCGCCTAGGCCGGTTACCAAAAGCGGGCACATGGATGAATACTGAGCAATGTAGGTGCCGACATTAGAATTTTTCTGCGACAGCGACATACAAAGTAATAGTGCATCTCTCGCCTGATGCCCGATGCTACCTTCACGATGTACGTACGGTATAAGTAAAGAGAATATTATGAAGCTGTAAATAAAATATAATAAAAAAAATAATTTAAATATTTAAAAAAAAATGAAATATGTGTATAATTACTTGGTGCCAGAACTGTTTCTACTTGAGCGTTGTAACTCATCTCCACTGGTTGTTTGCTTGTGTTGCTCCTGCTCCGCCGAGAAGAAGAATAGATCGAGTAGATGCACATTTTGCATTAATACTACGCATAGTTGGTTGAGCAATATTACTAAACGTTTTTCCAAATCTGGCGGAAAAATTTCACCCTGGCTTGATGCGAGTATCTTCAAAAGTGGCCTTAAGAAAGGCTCATGACAGAGTAGTTGATGTCGCGAGTGACTAACAAGTAGTTCATATAATTTTAGTTGTTCTAGGCGTACGGCATTAGCATAACGTCCCGTTGTACAGCCCCATTCATAGAGTTTATCCAGCAGATTTTCACTAAGCATATATTCCAAACATGGCGCAGGCGGAGGTGCAGTATCAGCGGTAGGTAGTGTAACTTTATTGCAATGATGTAACTCCACCAGCAGCAGTGTCACCATAAAGTCCAAATGTGAAACCACACCTAATACATCATCGTGTGACGGTAGTCGTTGTGTTGGCTCTGAACGTTGTATGATTTCGTAGGCTTGTTGCCAATGTTTACAAAAGCTATCGTAACATGCTCGCGGATCACAATCTGTTGCAGCGTCGATTGGCCTTTGCCTGAAAGATGTTGCTGTGCTAGAGACACCAGTACTATTACCATTGATTGAAGAGAGAAATGATACACCATTCCCGCTGTTGCGTGTTAAGCTCTGCCGCAGGGGGCTAGAACGTAGCCAACTCATTTAGTATGTATTTAAAAGTTATAGATAATTGAACGCAGCAGTCGTCGTTGGCTTAAGATATCAACTTAGCCTCTGGTAAGAATTTGTTATCAATGAAATATTAGTCACATATGCGAATAAAAATTTGCACTCGTACAGTTTTTTTGTGTATTTGGCGTATTGTACATTTGAAAAGGATCATTTAAATCTAAAAATAAAAAATAATAGAACCATGCAATTTAGGATAACAATATTAAAATACACTTGTCAAGGTAGCATAAACATTTACACAAACACAGATACATACATTTACGTACAATTATCATCCAATATTATCATTTACATCGATGTCGATGTGACCAGTAACAAAAATAGTACACCTTATTTTGATATCTATTTACTGTGTCACTACAGATATTTGCGCTTTGAAATAGTAGTTACATTTGAGTGAAGCTCCATGAAGCAGCGAACTAAATTTTTACACTTTCCCCCACTAGCCCCTCTTGATGTATCAAAATACTCCACCTCTATTATTCGCACTATACTTTGTGTGTTATTTTTTTCAGAAGCATAACAATTTTTCGTTTATATTTTCACTTGGGAAATCTCAAATATTTGTGCATTTTCAATTACGAATAAAGGGTTTTGTACGGACAACGTTAAAATACAATACTAAAATTTAATTAAAGTACGTTTTAAAACCATATTTAATACGAGTAAAATTTTAATCAACCATCCGAATAGAGGAAAAAGAAAGTCCGTGACTAAAGTCACTCGTTCACAATGGTCAGAAATGATTGATTCTCGCTAGTGATACACAAATATTATAACAAATATTTAATTTGATAAGAGTGTTTAGATTATTTCATGTTGTTCAAGAAATAGAAATTTATATTTTTTTGAATAAGAATGTCTTATTGGTTCCATAACTACGATTTCTTGAAGTTTATTAACACAGCAAAAGTCAACAAATTTATTCGATACATATTTCAACGACGTATCGATATTTTCTCGATATAATGCACCAAACAGCTGATTTACTTGCGATTTTGCAATTTAACGCCCACATATTATTAATTGTTATTTACTTCTGAATAAATGTGTTTGGTTTCTAATTTTATCCATTTTTTATATTAATAAGTTAGAGGACAGAATTTTTAAAAATAAGAAAATGTCAAATCCGTTTGGAGAACCAGATGATGACGAATCTTGTGAAATTTTGGAAGGTTTTCTCTGTCCAATATGTAGAGAAGATCTGAAATCAGCTGAATTTTTAACTGTGCATTTCGAAAGGTCTCATGCAGAACAGCAGGACGCTCTTAAATCAGTTTTTAAAGACATAATAACCAAAGCTAAAAATAAAATCCTTAATTTTGATGAAACATTTGACCTCTCCAGAAGCTTCGATAAGAATGCGGCAATTAGCGGAGCCACTAGTAGTGGAGGCACAGCAGGTAATATTGCGACAAATGCCATATCGAAGGCAGATAATAATGGGTTAAATATGAGTAATGCGCGGACACGTACGAATGTCTTCAATTTTATGGATCGCCAAGAAGTTGGCGCCGAGTATAACCATTTGGAGTATTTTCAATCAATAAGAAACCCACGACTGGAGCGATATGCAAGTGAAACGAATAAATTGATTATACGGCTGCATAAATTATTAACAAATTTACCAATGGACCCAGTTCTACGAAAACAACATGAACGCAATGTGAGAATTATGTTTAATCCGTAAAAAAAGTTTATTCACTTTTCTTTAATTATGAATACGTAGATTGTTACATGGTTGGATGGAAGCTCAGTGAAATTATGCCCTAGTTGCGCTAAAAACTTTCACATTGCTCGCCGTCAACATCACTGCCGTTTGTGCGGAAGTATTATGTGCAATGATTGTTCGAAGTTCCTTCCAATAGAAACTGCTTGTAAGTAATTTGATTGTACCTTTTTCTTTTGTCACCTAAATATTATATTCATTACTTAGTGCAACTTGCCAGTTTGGCTACATCACAAAGCGAAACTATCAAAGAAATGCAAAATTTTACTGAATCGAATAAATCAAATCCCCAGCATCATGGTATCCGTTCCTGTGATCATTGTTTGTGGCTTTTAGAAACTCGGCAAGAAATGCATGAAAGTCGAACATACCGTCCGCTTATTTCTCAAATTTATGCCGATATACAAAAATTGCGCAAGGACGTATTACCCGATATAGAGATGTATTTAAAGATTGTTAGTAGTCTCTATGATGGAGAGTCAATTTTCACCATTGCCGACGCTAGTGCGTTAAGGGGAAAAATTGGTCATGTGGCTGAAGCTATCGATTTGCGGAGTAAACGTATATTAACTATACCTTGTCAAGAAGGTAGTCGAGAAGGAGCCTTAAAAAAAGCCATACGTTTATCATGCAGCCAACTAATCAAAGAAAAAATTCTGTCAATACCACCCCTACCTGAGGAGGAAGATATTCGAAAAATTCAAGATCGTAAACGAATGGAAGCAGAGCAACGTATAGAAACCGAACGGCGTCAAGCAATGGAAGCATATGAACGACAAACATTAGCAAATAACGCCAGCGCCAGTCAAACCAGAGTAAATAATGAGAACGATTATGCTTACGGGGTAATTTTTTTAAAAAATATTGTTGCGCATGATGTAACTGTTATTTTATTTCTTTGCAGTCTGACTTGCGATCTTTAGATAATTGGTCAGCGCAACCAGTAAATATATCACAAAGTGAAGATCCGCTTATTGAGCAAATAAATATTATTAAGGGATACATAAAACAAGCTCGACAGGAAATGAATTTCGAAGTAGTAGAGACATTAGAACTAAACTTACGAGAGCTGCAAAGAGAATTCTACGAAAGGCAAAGAGCTTCTAGAGAACTGAATCTGGACGCGGGAAGAAGCAAACAAACAACTTAATGGAGAATTAACGAAACAAAATTTGTATACATTATAAACGGGATAAATGATAGCGAGATTCTTTTACAAATGAAAGTATTCCAACTAGGCTTAAAACAATGTTATAATTTGCTATACATTGAAAGATAGGATAGAATAACGCCCCTGGTAATCTAAATTTCTTAACGTTTTCTTAATTATATGACATAGAATGTTCACATTAATTGGTATTTTTGCACTACAAGTGTAATGCATTATAGTATACATATGACCGTGCATGCGTGTTATAGTGGCATTTCCTTCATAATCATGAGATTGTCATTCATATAATAAAAATATATTCCTACACATTCCGCATTCAACTAATTTTTAATTTAAATATTTTCGGAGAAATATATACGTAAATTATTTTGTGTTCGTTGCCTTTATTATAATTTACTAAAGAATACAAATATTTATAAATCTACTTTCATGTTAATAACCTATAAAAAATTGTGCATTAAAGTGCGTTTGAAAATAGACGGCTTTTATCTTAGTGTGTATAATATTTGCAAAATTTAAATACCAATTTATAGCAAATGCAATATTGCTAAAATGATCAAAATGCTATGCAATAGCATATTTTTTGGTTCAAAATTTCAGATGTATATTATTATATAATATTCTTAAGCTTTTAGCCCATGAGCTTGTACTAAAGCCTTAACCTTCTCCACATAAGCAATTTTGGCTGCATCCTGGGATGTACCCTTGCGATTGTTCCATGCTTCCCACTTAGCTTTGCCCTTGAAGTCCAAGAAACCGGGTTTATCTGTATGTCAATATACGTTGCAAAATTTTATTACTACATTTACAGTTTTGAAGGCGGCGAATTTAAAAATACTTATAACAGATAACAATTCAGTAAAATCTTTGAGCCAAGTTATATATAACGGGTTTAACAAATTTCTGGTAAAGTGAATATAAAACTAATAAAATTATAAATGAAAATTATCAATTCCCTACTTTAATCATAATCGAATTAAAATTTTTATTTAGAGATAAGGAGTGATCGTAATACAAATAAAATCATAAATGTACATCACTGCGTTACTGACATACCTGTATTGCAATCTCCTACTGTTGCCTGTTTAAATAAACTGTACAATTCCAATAAATCATTATCGGATGGTGTAGAATTTAGGTTCTTAACATTTTCAGCGGCTTTATCAAATTCCTGTGAAGAAAGAGACAAGGTCAAAGTTTAAGCTATGTAAAAAACAGGCCATTGGTGACCGCACCCTGATACCCGTTAGCTAGAAGAAAAATGTATATTTACCTCTTGGCTGGCCATATTGTAGATTGTTAAATTCTTTGTAGAACTAGAACTGCAAACAATTGTTAGAAAAAAAATACTATATAGATATAATTTTAGTATTAAATTAGTACACGTATAAAAAATGTACCTACTGTGAGCTTAACGCCTGATGTATAATTGATAAGTGAAATTAGCCGGTGTGTTTTTTCCCATGTGTGTGAATTGGCCAATTTAGCCAGATTAGTTTGAAAATAATTTACAAATTTCCACAGTAGTTAAGAGTAAATATATTAATTTGACGTCAATTGAAAAGAAATCTTAGTTGTTTTGATACAATTTTTATAGTTTTTAAAATTATTCAAAATAAATCAATGGGAAATTTAACAAAACAATAATATATCTGTATTTTATCGAATTATCGTTCTGAAAACACTTTAGTGAACAAAATGCAACAATGTCAGCCCTGACAGAGCAAGAATACTATATATACTACGAATGAACTCGACAAGTAAATGAATGGTAGAAAAGAAAAACATTTCTTTTTAAGAAAAAAGAAGTAAATGAGTGATTATTGAATGAAGAGTGGTGAATAGGAATGTAATCTGTATTATTAATAAATTAAAAGTAATTTGTGGCGGAATTGATTACCAAGATTGATTGTGAAGAATTATAAGATAAAATACAAATATTTCCTTTTAAAGATAACATACTCGTATTGATAAGAATAAAAAGAATTTGCGTAGCATTATTCAGTACCACAGATTTTGAATCAATTAAAAAAGAGCTAAATTGCAGTTAAGTGCTCCATAAATTACACCTTTGTCCGGGTAGAGTGCAGTTTAAGAAAGCTAAGGAAAACATTCCATAACTGCTGAAGGTTAATTGGCACCAATTGTCCTACCAATTCGCAGTTGCAGCGAATTTTGTGGTATATAATCAAACCTTGAAAGAAAGTACGTGGTCCACAAAATTTACACAGCTATTAGCCAGGTGCGCAAACATGTGGAATTTGTTGTATTCTTCATGTGTTTTCATTTAATTAACAATTGTTTTGTTTTTTTTTTTTACAGATTTCGAGTGCTACACACTTAAGCAAGGAAACATCCGAAAAAGAAATTAAGACTCAATACTTTCCGATTTAATTATGACCACAATAAATATAAATTCAAGAAAAAGTCCGATGCTGAAAAAGCAGGGCACAGACCAGTGGGTGAAGCTTAATGTGGGTGGCACATATTTCCTTACAACAAAGACTACGCTATCCCGTGACCCAAATTCGTTTCTATCGCGTCTAATACAAGAAGATTGTGACTTAATATCAGACCGAGTAAGAATCAAAACTATTCATATTAGTGATAAAATAGGTAACCATCAACTTACGTGTGTAAAAAAGTTTAAATGTGTTTTTGATAGTGACCATAATGCTTATTGATTTAAATTCAATTCCTTGACAATTCGAAAAACTGCACGCGAGTAATAAAACCACTTAGATATGTGTGCAGTTATGTGAGCTAAAGCAGGTCATTATATTCAGGGCGAAAGTAGGGGTGGCGAATATTTAGCACCACATAAACAAAAATGCCCCCAATTCGCTATTTAGTTCAAAGTCAAACGAAATTTTCTGAAATAATGATTTTGATTATCTCTGTTTTGGTTTTTTGCTTCACCTCAACACAATATATACATAAATAAATACATATAGTGATAGTGTTCATTTAATGCACTTTTACAACTGAATTAAGGCTATTTCATTAGTTCATTTCTTCTCTTTTTGTTTACTGTGTATTTTATCTATTGGTCTGTTTGTAGGATGAAACAGGTGCTTACTTGATTGATAGAGACCCAAAATATTTTGCGCCTGTGTTGAACTACTTGCGACATGGTAAACTTGTTTTAGACGGTGTATCCGAGGAAGGCGTTCTAGAGGAAGCCGAATTTTATAATGTCACACAACTCATAACATTACTGAAGGAGTGTATAAATCATAGAGATCAGGTAGGTGTCACTAAAATTTATTAATTTATACAGCAGCTATGCAATGTTTATATATCTTGATTTTAATTACTCACTTCAGCGACCACAAGCCGATAAAAAGCGTGTATATCGTGTATTGCAGTGTCGTGAGCAAGAGTTAACACAGGTAAATACAAGCATACAATACAAGTTTATATATTATATTAATTTGTAATTAATTTTTTTTGCAAATAGATGATCTCAACATTATCGGACGGTTGGCGTTTTGAGCAGTTAATTAGTGTCGGAATGCAATATACGAATTATGGGCCATTCGAAAATAATGAATTTTTATGCGTAGTCTCAAAAGAATGCGGCACAACGTCAGGTCGTGAATTGGAACTGAACGATCGTGCCAAAGTGCTACAGCAGAAAGGATCTAGAATGTAAGAATTTGTGTATTCAAACTAATAATTCATCACTGCAGTCGTATATATGTATTTATTAAGTAAACAATATTTTTTATATAATCCATACATACATGTTATGTGTGTGGTATTGGGTAGTCGATAAATGCAGATTATTGCAAAATTTATATAGAAAACCTGTCGTGCGTGGAAGGTAACACTTTCAATCGTATATTTTAGTAAATTGCGCGCATTCGTATTTACCATTATAATGACGGGTAGTAGTAAGTTGATTACTGCGCAGTTATATGCAACTTATAAGGTAGATTCGCACTTCATTACTCGCTCATAACTTCTTAAGTTAACTTTTCGCTAACAGAGTCACTACATTAATGTCTTGATGCAAGTTAATTTAATAACTAGATTTGCAAAAATGGGTTATGTTTTTATTTTTTTCCTTACCTTAACATTTTCTTAGCTTTTATATTCAGTTTTACACATTTAATTAACGTAAACTTATCATTAATCATTTTTATTTAGAGGTATTTAAACAACATCGTTTGCTAGTTGAAAATTCAAATATAGGTTATGTTTTATCACATTGACACAATCAAATGTATAAGATAATATAGATAATTTATCTCGTTTGTAACACTGATAATGTAGCCTTAGCACCCCGTTGCAATCATCGCTTTTGATATTCGAAAAATGTGGACTGAAAATCTTTAAACTCAATATGCAGAAAATATAATTAAATTCTGAATACGATTAATGCCACCAAAATTAGTTCCCCACCGATGATGTGGTGAAAAATTCATTGTTGGATCAACTGGTAACAATAAACCTTCTAGAGCGCGTTTTCAAATGTGAATACGTTAGGTGGGCTATTATTAATAAGTAGGGAATTTGTGAAAAATGCATAAATAAAGCTTTGTTACAAATCAAATCAAATTATAACATTAAACGTATTCGACTTTTCTTTTACACATAATTATTTTTATTTTTTGCATATTTCAAGTAAAATAAGAGAATCAAAGATATGTAACATAACTATAAATTCTCTGAAAATTTCATATAAAATTGCAAATGGCATTTAAATCGCCGTGTTTGCCACTTTTAGCAAACTAATGTAATAAATGATTGTACCGCGGGGAGGTAGTGAATGTAGTACGCACAAAAAATCCAAGTAAATGCCTCGTTTATGATAAATTTTTCTTATACAAATTAATAAAAAAAAAACCAAAAAAAAATGCAGAAAAAATAATTAAAATAAAACCAAAAGAATATCTAGACAAATAAGTTAGGGCATGTAAACATGAAAATATTCAAATAATCGCTAAAACAAATTAATATACGCAAATAGTAATATGTATGTATATTTAAGGCAATAATTAAACCTTCTGTGGAATAGTGTTTGCATAAGATACATAATTACTAAGTCCAGAGCAATTATGCAGCTGTACAGCGCACTTGTTGCAGCTTTCATCCACGTATTGGCGCCATGAAAATCATGAAAATCTTGAAAACCGCTTTAAACACAAAAAAATATTAAGTCACTTATAAAGATTTTTATAGCCACCATAGTGAAACAATTATTTTTTGATTAACAACTTCAAAATAATTTTCAAAAAAGCAATAATTTGAAGACTAAATTTTGCGTATATTTGTATATATAATGTATGTTGTATATTTATATATGTATAGTTAGTTGTGTAAGTGATTTATAGCTTTTTTGTATGCGTATGCGAATGTATGTTTGAGTGCATGTGTGCGCATTAATAGTACTCACTGCTTTTTAGTTTGAAAAACGTTAATGTTTACAACTTTTCGCTGAAATTATATATCCGGTAGGCAAATGTGTATTTTGTGCTTTTTAGTTTGTAGCAATTGATCAAGTGCAGACTTTTGTTGAAAATTTAACACTGGAAAATAGTTTGTGCAGTATAGCTATGGTTAAGTATAAGTCATCGAGCTTTTTATGTATAGCTAAGTAGTTTCAATTTAAAAGATACGAGCAATTTAATGCGATTTTCTAAATCAAAGCGCAAGAAAACCAAATTCCTCATTAATTTTTTTGTCTATTGCAATTATTTAAGTTGTGCCCTATCGGCAATTTTCTATATATATTAGTGTTCAAATGACAAACATTAAAAAAGTATTAAAGAAGATCTCACAAAAATACCTGAAGACTCTTGCTTCTAATGTATAACTAATATTTCTTAAAAAAAAATTCATAAGCGAAGAAAACGAATAAGTTCACATTCCGCATAATGAAATTAAAATTTTTCTGAAAAATCTCTACATTCTATTTGCATTTAAATCAACATCACTGCTTATATTTTTGCATTCAAGTGTTCGAATTTTTTTTTTATACACTGATCTGTATATACGTCGTTCCTTCGTTTTGGAGATATCGATCTGAAATTTTGCTCGCGTACTTTTCTCGTCGAATTGTTACGCTTTTGTCGGTATTGGCGATATTGAAGCACTATAGCATATTACTGCCATACAAACTGAATGATCACAGTCAATTCATTGCATGGAAAACTTTTTTCTGACAAGATATCTTCACCAAATTTGTTATGGTTTATTTTCCAAAGCAACGGTATAATCTTCGAATTGTTCAGATCGGACTACTTTTGCATATACATATGTAGCTGCCATACAAATTGACCGATCAAAGTCAAGTTCGTGTATGGAAAACGTTTTTATTTGACAAGATGTCTTCACGAAATTTGGCATGGCTTATTGTCCAAGGTCCAACAGTTCAATCTCCGAACAAATTGTTTAGATCTGGTCATTATAGCATATATGTATGTTTGTAGTTGTCATACAAACTGACCGATCAAAATCAAATTCTTGTGTAGAGGGTATTATAGCTTCGGTCCAAAGAAGGTTAACGTTTTTTCTAGTTTAATAATTCATTTATTACTAAAAATTAGCACATACATGCATCCCGTCATGCTGGACCACACCTGTCTTCAATATTAACGTGTGCTTGTATTGTAGTAAACTCGTATGTGTGTTTTTACACTGCTTTTGTGTATAAAATTGTAGTATTTAGTGAACATAAAATTGTAAATATATCATCACAATTTTTTCTTATTAAAATTTAATACATTTTCTTATTTCTTACTTGTTTTTTTTGTTTCTTTAATTGCAGTCTCGGAATTTAAAGTAGAAAGAAAGCGAATTCTCACACCTCCAACATCCTCCCACACCACCCTAGAAACCGTATAGCGAAAGACTTTGCGTAATAGTGCCCCCCTCACAAAACGTACCACCTACCACAACCACCGCCCTCAAGCGCCAACACCATATAGCCACCATCATCACCAAAACACACACTCATGTAACATGCCCGCTTTAAACAACCATCAGCATTGTCACCTTAGGGTTCACCAAGTAATACTTTCGATATAACAGACGGCAATCACAGCTAACACCAAGCAACATCATCAATGATTCAATGATTGTATCGCTTTAAGTGCGTTCGTTGCACACAAAAAAAGCAAAAACAAAGCAATGCGTAGTTAACCACATGCTCAGTAGTCGCTCACAATGACACACATATACATATTTATATTAATATATGTATACTTGAATAACTGCAAATTTATAAAAAAAAAAACGATATTATAACAGTATATGTTTCATAATTCTACTCACATGCAAATTATTAACATTTAATTGTGATTAACTCATTAGTTCATTAGAAGCGCAGATCTGCAAAAAAAATATTTTTTTGGGAAAATTTGAAAATTTATTTAAGAAATAAAAAAAGTTTCAAGCATTGGTGTAAGTAGCATGCTAGCAACGTGAAAACGCGTTAAATGTGAAGTTGTCGAGTGATTAAAAAAACAATTTGTTTCCTTAATAATAATAAAAAATAAAAAAATAACAATAGCAAAATATAAAAAAAAAATATATTAAAAACAATACTGTAAATCCTTACTTATATAATGAAAATGCAAATGTAAAAATTTTATAGCAAGCGTCACGTTGCCGTTAGAATTATGGAATGCTGCAGCTTAGTTGCAGATGCAAATCACGTCAGAAGTTACACACAAACACACATAAAGTACATATTAGGAGAAAAATTGAGAGAAAAACTGAAAATAATAATCAGCAACTGTTATATACAATATTTTGCTATTAAAATGATATTACAGTTTTTGAATATGTATTTCTTAAGTTTATTAAACGCGCCTAGGCGCTCTTGTAACTTTGTGTGAGATGCAAAAAAACATACATACATACATATATATTTTATTTTGCTACTAATTGAAGAAAAATTATGCAATAATGTATTGAAGTTATAAGCCCATATACATATATACAACTCCTCATAACTGCAAATATGTAGATGCACAATTTTGAAGAAATTATAAAATAATACTAATTCTAGCTTTTATACATTGCTGCTCAGTGTGCGTATAATCGTGAAAAATTCAGTAAAAAATAAGATTACAAATTGTTTGAAAAAACTGTTTCAATATTTTAGCTTTTGGTGCAAACTATTTTACTGTATTAGAGTAAAAGAAATCTTGGTTTTGTTTGAGGGTTTATTTATTTTTTCATACCCATCTTTAAAAGACCACTAAAAAATTAATATTAAGAGAAGACAATTATGTTTTACAAGTCAAAAGTATTCACTACTCGCTAAATAAAAATAAAAAAAAATTAAAATTATGAAAAAAAAACTTTTCCTGAAAATATTTTTTTCTATTTTTGTATTGCACAACCTTTGGCGTACTAGATTTTAATTTTTTCACAGAATATCTCGTCTAACTTTATTTGATGCGAACGTTAAAAGAGATAATTTAAGTTAGAAATAAATATTTGAATTGGAAACGTAAACAATTTTCTCATTGCAATCTGTAAAAAAATTATTTTTTAAATAAATAAATTTTAATTTTTAAATAATATTTAAATTTATTTGAAATTTAAAAATGTCAAAATTATATTTTTTTTAAATTTAAATTGTAATTTTTTCACGTTTCTTTTGTTTTTTTAAATTACAAAATAAAAAATGGCAAAAAATAATACAAATTTGGTTATAGGGTTATCACAAAAAAAAAATTTAATTAACTTTGTACCTACTGAAATTGGCCTTTTTGGTTTTTATACACATTACTTTATATACATACCTAACCTCAAACGAAAAATATTTTAACATTTTAAAGTAAACATTAGCATTATTTAACAAATCAAAATTTTCAAAACAATTGAAAGGATTTTCAAGTACTAATGGATGCATTAATGCAAAGAGCATATATTTTCAATTTATATTATATAAAATTTTTTTTTGCAATGCAATACAAATTACTTTTTTTTTTTTAAATTTTAAAGTAAATAAAATTGTGAAAAACTCCAATACTGAGAGAAGTTTGTGCCGTCATGAAAAAAAACAATAAAAAGTATGCAAAAAAAATTTAGCAACTAAATATATTTTCCAATTATATTATATACATTTTCATCATGTAATAACCATTTAAAAAATTACAATTATGGCTGAGTAGAAAAGTTAACTAAACTTCGAATATTTTTTTTTTTAATTTAGTGTCTTCGCACACATACTTACATATATTTATATATATATATATTTACATATGTACCTGAGCAGCAATGTTACATACAAAAGCACTATGTGAAAACCAATAATATTTTTGCAAAACACCTTAATCACAACAATGAACCGTTAGAACTAAAACATTAACATTTATACATACACATACATATGTAAGCAACAAATTACCAACACACATACATACATGAAATTGTAAAAGTGAAACAATGAAAAGTTTCCTTTATGCATAGCAACTGTAAATTTAGGCGCGAAACTCTTTAAGACGCACACATACATACACATAAAATGTTGCAACACATAGAAAACGTTACGAATGCGAATTTATTATATTAAACATATAATTATAAGTTGAAATATTTTGCACCCATTCTACGCAACATTCGTGCAACATAAGCTTTACTTATGTTTCGTTCCGTTATGCCGCGTCTTGTATTCACTGAAGTTTTATATGCTATAGTCTAAATAAAGCAAATGTAGAATTTACTCGTAAATAATTCCGACTGACTTAAAAAAAAAACAAAAACAAAAAACAAGTAAAAATTATAAACAATGCTGCGCATGCGCTCCCCACACCCTCGCTCCGATATGGCGTTACTTTGTATGTGCTGGAGGAGCAGCAGTAGCAGCCAAGTGAAATACATAAACAAATTAAAATTTTAATTAGATATGCAATGAAACAAACAGAAATTTACATTTAACAAAAGTAAATAATTGAAAATTATTTATAGAAAAATTGTGGAACTCATATTAGCAAAGACAAAATGCATTGCGTTTGTTCGAATATTTAAGAATTTTTTTTATTTACATATATACTTGCATGCAGACATACATACATAAAAAAAAAATTGCCTCTACATAAAACAACAGATATTTGTGTAACGTTATAAGCGGCAAGAGCTTGTATAAATGATATATTGATTCAATAAAACAAAATCCTTTTTTCTAAAAATATATGCGTTTTCTTAACTAACCTACACTATGGAACAAATTGTCATCTAGGGCTTGTAGACGACCACCACTGTTTGCTCTGGATGTTGTCGTAAGGAACTAACTTTTCATCACCAGTAACCATCAGCTTCAGAAGTGGAACGATTTTGTTGCGATTCAGCAGCGATTCGTAGATGGGAATTCGGTTCATGATAAAACTTCGCATTCATTACCGCATACAATACTACAGATCGTCTAAGTATACATTCCGTCAATCACCATCTAACAGGTAGTGGTTCGTCCGAACATTAGCAGTCTCTTCGTAGGCGACAACAAAAACCAGAACGAAGTTTGTTACTTCAAATTTGGCGACGAGCTGTGCGGTATTCTGTACATGCAGATTTCCTCACCAGAGCAGTAAACATCATCCCTGACAGTCTAATAAGGTAAATCCAAACGGATTTTCGGACAAAAGCGGTGGGACTTGGAGGCGAGGACGACCAAATAATGTGAGACAGGCCCAATGAAACATCTTGACTTGATCTCTCAGTACCTCTAAACTGTCGAACATAGTTTAGACCTGGTCGAACTGCGCATGGACATTCTGAGGGTTATACTTTGAAAAGCTTATATTCAAAACTAATACGCTTCAATTTTCATCAATATCTGCAAACCGCGCGGACAAAGTGGATTTACTTTATACCAAAACAATAAGGTGTAGCACGCGATCGATTTTACAGAATTTCATTCTTTGATCACAACCCTCTTTTTCGTTACTAAGCTTATTCCTACCATTATTTTAACACCTGCGTCTTGCCAATTATCCGCAGGAAGCTTGAGAATTCTGACTACAAAGTACCTAAACATAACTTTCTCACCAATCCCGGTCTTGGCACATGCAATAGCAACAGACAATAAGCTCCGCGACAAGAAAACAAATGCCCATGCTCTTCGGTTTGTACTTGGGAAAAAGATGGTGAAACTGGCTTGTTTCAAGAAAGCCAGTGGATATACAGTATATTACACCACACCTGTCTGGTTCATGAAAACTAGCGACTAATAGCGTCACCATTTTAGATTTGTCGAAATATCACTCTCTATACATCTTCTCCATGGCTTCTAATTATATCTAAACGATACTGACACGTTTAAATCTAAGTGCTATATCTTTTGTCTAACGATAAAAAACTGTGTGGCATAAATAGCCTTCAGTCGCAATTGGAGCGAAGGTTTTATCAGCACGTAAGGTAACTGATAAGACGACTTACCCTCGTTTCCACGACAGTCGAGTCTAAGTTACCGTAACGGACCCGGATTTTTATCCGTCCAAGGACTGTCAACTCCGTACCATTTCTCGAAATTATATCAGAAATGCAGCTGCCGCTACAACAACAATGACTTACCCTTTCATGTTGCAGAAACAACTTTGCTAGGTGGACGTCCAAATGCTTGGGGACCATGTTTAACCATACATAGATGAAAAGAATGTATATTTGTTTATATATTTAAACATAATCATAATTAAGTTGTAACCAAACTTTTATTGAACAGTGTCCTTATAGTTATACCATGCTACCTCACATCTTTCAATTCAATAAGTTTAGCAAAATATGAGCGAGCGCAAACCCTCCCACACCGAACTGCATATAAAATTGCAGCAGTTGGTGCCACAGTGGCTTCAAAACGTCGACAAACAACAGGTGAGCCACTTGCACTCTCTGTATCACACTCACTCACACACTCTCTCTCCCTTTAGCTGGCTGCCCATTAACTGATGGAAACTCACCTGGTGAGAAAATTTACGTGCATGGCTTTAAATCAACTGACATTTCACCACAGTTAAGACGGTAAGCCAAACGATTCGGTTTAGTTTTTAACGAATCAGCGACAATTGCGGACGTGAACATTCGATACGGCGGCGGTTGTATCAACATATAACCTTTTCATACCCAAACTCATTTCATATTTCGTATCATTTATTTACAAGTGGTTGTCAACCAGAGCAGCGGGCGCACTGCTCTGTGCCGAGTCGGTATCAAATTCCACGATTGAGTTGTGTTACAGTTTCGGTTCGAATAAAAAATAAACAAATAAAAGTAATTAAGTTATGCTTATGGTTTTTTACAATATACAATACAAAATTCAAATACATGCAAAAATCGTTGGTATACTAAAAGCAATAACAACAATAACAGTTAATGGCGACAAGTACCATATAGCGTGGCTATAACTAGATGTGGAAAATAGTGCAACAACAAACCATAAATATATACATATATACGCGTGAAATAACTGTGAACGGTTGGGAAGAGTTATTTAACTCACCGGAAGGTATAAATATATATATATGTATATTAATATATGTACATATGCATGTGTGCTATGTAAATGAATATCAATGCAAATGCAGCCCACTTAATTGTAGGGAAACTAGGCTGCAATTATACAAACATAGTCAAACATAAAATAAATCAAGCAAAATACATACAAGTATGTATGTATGTATGTAATATATAATATGTATAATACATACATACGAGTATATGCAGCAAAACATACCAACATTTATAGTTTAAGGCGCGTTCAGTGCAAATAACTGAGTTGTGGGTGTGAATTGATCCCCAGTAATGTGGAATGTTGCTGGTTAGACTACAACAACAATAAAGCAACAGCAATAAAGTGGTAGTTTGTGTGTATGTGTATGATTTATTCGAATTTTCGCGCATTAAGAAGTGCTTGTTAATGATATTTATGAGAAATCGTGTGGAAAACTTTTGAGCGAGTTTTTGTCAAAGAAAATTTTAATAAATTCGTGAAAAATTTTATAAAATTTATTAAGAAATCGAAATAATATGATATGTAAAATAATTATAAAAGCAAATATCAAGGCAAAAAGCCGATTTGATTGAAAAATAATTGTTTATGCTTATATACATGTTTTGTTCAGTATAAGCTGCTAGACTACTGAACCGATTTTAGTAAAATATAATATATATAGTAAAGATAGGATAGTTTATATCTTAATGATTTTAAAACTCAAAACAATTCATAAATAAAAAAAACGTAATAATAAAAAAATTCAATAAAAATATATATAATAACAATTAAATTTTGGGCAAAATTTCAAATGGAAAATCCAAAATTTTTTCATTTGACAACTATTTGTAACAATTATTTTCAAATTCCAAAATGTATGTTGGATAATATTTATTGTATGACCTTGAGTTTTTATAGTTGTGCAGTCTTTACCTATGAATAATTTAGAGCTGGTCTTGATTTTCTAACAATTTCCGATGTAAAACTTAGATTTTCATCATTTTTACAGACATCAACTGCAACTAAGCTTTGAAATCCTTACTGTGGGCATAAATTCTTCATTCATTAATTTTTTAACAAAATATGTTTTATTAAAATTATTTCACCAAAAAGGGAAATTATCAAAAAAAATTGTTTACAATTACACATCATTTCATTCATATCATATTTTCAGCTAAAAGTTTCCACCAATTATAAAGAGATAAGCATTGTTGATAAGAATTATATAAATGATAGTTAATATGATAATATAGTAGAAGTGTTTATTTATTTATTTTAGTATAAATATAGTTAAAATATGAATAGTGAGTCATTTTGCAGTTATATTAAATATACTATATATGGTTTTAAACTTATCAACAAATGAAAAACTTGGCATTAAAGGAAAAAGGAAATTTGAGGCAGAGGTTAATATAATTAAAATCCGGATAGAGCGAAAGCTAAACTTTATACTATCACAGATATCTAGGGCCGTAGAGAGAAAACCGGGGCCGAGGCGGATATAGGATGTGGCTCCCTTTAATCACTAATTGTTGAAGAAAGAAATTAGCAAAAAAAAACAGCGGTATGACCTGAGTACTTCGGGTCTGAGAGGAGCTCTCCCCGATCTCCCACCTCTTTCGGTCACTGCTGATATCCATATAATTTCTGTATTGAGAATTAAAGATCCCGAAATCGGAAAATCTGGAGTTTGGTTGGTCCCAGAACCCCTAATAATTCCCCACCTGACGACTTTTGAAACGCTTAAGCCTATATTAGTAGTTTGTTCCACTAAAAAGCTCCATTGGTGGCAGACAGCCGAAAACTCCGCAACACTCAGATATTCGACCCAAGTGTTTAAAGCCTGACATAAAACTGAAAAATCTATAGAAAGTTATTAGATAAGTGTATCTTAACGTGGGAGAACCTCATTCAACTTCAAAAAAGTTTGTTTGGCCTCGAAGTCTTTCACAACACTGCAAGATTTTATGTTGCCTAAAGGCAAGTTTTTTTAAAAGTAGTCTACAAGTGAACAAGCGATCCCTTGTACTCATCTCACTAAGCTTTTGAGTTCTTATCTTTCTCTAGGCATTTTTAACAATATAAAAAATTCTGTTACTTATACTATATAAAAGTGCCTCAAAACATTTTTTTTTTAATTTTTATGACTCGCACACCTACATATAAATATATCTCAGAAAAAATCAACGCCTGCGGGCCATCATCATAAGGCATCACGGCGACACTGCTATGGTGGTCATTTTGAAGAAAAAAAAATAATAACTACATTGATACATATTTACATAAAATTGTTTATGTGAATTTGTGCAAATTATTTGAGTGTTAATTTGATTCATCAGAAATTGAATGACGACACCACAAAAATATCTGAAGAAGGGTTGGCGCCTGAAGCTATTATAAATTTTTTAAGTAAACTTAATGTAGGTACATGCAAATACATCACAATAAACACACACATGTGCAATGATGCTTGAAAACAGCTTTAAGAAGAATTTAATCTCCAACGTAAAGTTTTGTCAGCGATCGGCCGCGAGATAAAATATTTTCAAAGATAAATTTACACTTTGTGTATATGTATATGTGTACGTGTGTGTGTAATTAAATAGACGTAAGCGTTTGACGCATCAAAATTTAGACAAGTTCAAGGAGACTTAATAACTTAGGGTTAAAGCATTTCAAATTGACACGTTAACAACAAATATTTCCTC